CACACCTCATTTAGATTTCACTAGTTTTTTTCCCCCTAATGTTCTTTTTCTGTTTTAGGATCCCACCCAGGATGCATTATTACATAGTCTTTACATCTTATAAACTCTTCTCATCTGTTGACAGTTTCTCAGATGTCACTTGTATTTCATTTTATACTTTTGAGGAGTACTAGGTTAGGTATTTTGTAGAATGCCCCTCAGTTTGGGTTTGACAATTGTCTTTTCTGATGGTTAAAGCCTGGGGCTATGGGTTTTGGTGATAAATACCACTGGGGTGAAGGGTCATTTAATAGGACATTATGATCACATCTTATCAAAGGGTATATGCTATCAACAAGATACCACTGTTAACGTTAACTTTATCTGAGATTGTATTTGCCAAGTTTCTCCATTCCAAAGTTACCTCCCACCCTTACCTCACCCTTTGTCTCTTGACTTTTGTTTTTGTTTTGTTTGTTTTTATCTGAATATAGTTGACACACAATGTTACATTAGTTTCAAGTATAAAACTTACTGATTTGACAAGTTTATACATTATGTTATGCTCGCCACAAGTGCAGTTACCGTTTGTCCCATTACATGCTATTATCCCCTATTCATTCTCTATTCTTTGTACAGGAGTTACTCAGTACAGTCTACAATCAAAGGGCTGGGTAAGGGGTGCATTAAGCACCATTTTCCAGGGGTGGGGAAGTATCTACATATGTTATCTATAATTCTTTTGGAAATCTTTAAAGGAATTTATCTCCCATATATTTGTGTCCATTTGTTTAGTTATTCAATCATTTATATCGGTATGGACTGATTTCAAAGATACTTATTTTATGCTTTGGATTATAACTGCACACTGTGTTATATATTTTGTTTTTCGTGTTGTTCCAGATTTTGGTCATTGGGAGTTCCTTCAAGTTGGATCCTGTAACCTTTTGACATATCCCATTCTATTACTGTCTAGCACTTCTCTAGCTATGCTTTGAATATAAACTGTAGCATTCAGGTATTTTATCTGAATAAAGCTGGAAGAAAATGAAATGCTAATCTTGACACTGTTATATATAACATAATATTCACAGATCTAGACACACTTTATTATTTGGAGAGACTATCATGTTTAAGTCATTATATCAATTAAGATATTTAGTAAAAGATGGAAGTAACACACAAAACCACCTAATTCAATGTATAGTAAATAAAGCTCACTTAAAATGGTACTCCATCCATTGTAGTTCTTTTTGGATGAGTAATGTTAAAAGTAAGGTTAAAACCGGCTTTACCCAGTAGTGCAATTGCTGGATCGTATGGTAGCTCTATTTTCAACTGTTTGAGGAACCTCCATATTGTTTTCCAGAGTGGTTGCACCAGCTTGCATTCCCACCAACAGTGTAGGAGGGTTCCCCTTTCTCCGCAAGATGAATGGATAAAGAAGATGTGGTATATATACACAATGGAATATTATGCAGCCATCAAAAGGAATGAGATCTTGCCATTTGCAACGACGTGGATGGAACTGGAGAGTGTTATGCTGAGTGAAATAAGTCAATCAGAGAAAGACATGTATCATATGACCTCACCTTATGAGGAATTCTTAATCTCAGGAAACAAACTGAGGGTTCTAGAGGGGAGGTGGGTGGGGGGATGGGTTAGCTTGGTGATGGGTATTAAAGAGGGCACATTCTGCATGGAGCACTGGGTGTTATGCACAAACAATGAATCATGGAACCCTACATCAAAAACTAATGATGTAATGTATGGTGATTAACATAACAATAAAAAAATTAAAAAATAAAGTAATGGAAGGAAATATGCCAAAATTTAAAAATAGAAAAAAATAAAAAAAAATAAAAAAAAAATTTGCTTGACACACACACACAAACCGGCTTTAAAAAACAGTGCAAACAGTTTGGTTAGAGATTCTCGAAAACTGAAATCTTATGTTTAACTACTTAAAATGACAGGTCTGCCACCCTAATTTTCATAGTAATATCAAAGAAAAACACTCTGAGATTAATTTTGCTTCTCATTATACAAGTTAATTTTCTTTTCAAAGACATGTATTATTTGTTCTAATAGTTAGCTAACTACCAAGTTATATACCTTACCTATCAGCACTAATGAAAAGAATCTTTAAGAAGACTCAAAGAAAAACCTGATGATGGTCTTTGATTTTAATGTCCAGAAGGACCAACCATCACAGACACTTTATCTATGCCATCTTCTAACAAACCTACAAATGCTAGACAAAAATCCAGGCGGATTCACAATCTCTACCTTTCATTCCCCACACTGCAAATCCTCCCCACCCCCGCTCATTCCACTACCCCAAATTAACAGCTTCTGATGCATTTCCAATGCTCATTTCCTTACTCAGCATATTTTGTGTCGTTGGCAAGATGATATGAGGTTGTAAAAGGGATTTATACTGGCAATAAATAGGTGTGAACCTGCATTTTACTTAGGTTTTCACTAATCTGTAACTGAGTGTATTGACTTAATAGGGGGAATGGCACAAATGAAACCAGGATAAAGATCACCATAAACTTGAAGTCAGATGTCTGGACTCAAATTCCAACCAGCAATGTTCAATACTGTATGATGTAGCAGGCTCCTCTGAGATTCATTTTGTAGCTTTTAAAATGGATGATTTAAATATATTGTCTCCCAGATTTCTTCTAGTTCTGAAGTCTATGATGCTCTGACAAAAATTTTTGTTTGATAATTCCTCAGACAACCAATTCACTCACGGCATTTGATTTTCCTGGAGCAACTTCAGATACAGCTCCATCTTTTCTTGGAGGCTTTCTCCCCCAAAATGTAAGCACTGGAGGCTTGAGTTATCTTTATGCAAAGTTATCTTTATAACTCAGGAGAGAATAAAGATTTTTGAGATTATTATTTTAATCAGTCACATATTGAAGCCCGCTTTGTACAAGGATAATAAAAGTTTGTATTAATGAAGCTATTTCTTAAGAAGGAAGGAGAGTCAGTATACCTCCCCTCCATCAGGGGCCTGTTCCCTTTACTCACTAGAGCTCTAGACCAGTCTTGAGCTAGGCAACTGTGAAAGAGGTAGTATTTTCTTCACATCAAATCATCCAGAGTTCCAGCACAAGCTATAAGAAGATGAAATATATATAATATAATAGAAATTCTTTTGTTTCCACCTATGTTTCTTAGAGCATGTTATGGATTGAATTGTGTCCCCCCAAAATTCATGTGTTGACATCCTGTCCCCTAATACTACAGAATGTGACCTTATTTGGAAATAGAGTCCTTATAGATGTAATTAAATTAAGATGTGCTCATAATGGAGTAGGGTGGGCTTAATCCAAAAGGACTGATGTCCTTATATATAAAAAAGAGAAATTTGGACATAGACATGGGGAGATCACCATATGAAGACCAGTATTATGCTCCTAAAAGCCAAGGAACTATCAGAAACTAAAAATTTTAGAGACAGGACTAGAACAGTTCCTACCCTAGAGTCTTCAGGGGGGACCATGGCCCTGATGACACCTTGATTTCAGACTTCTGGCCTCCAGAACTATGAGACAACACAATTCTGTTGTTCTAAGCTACCCAGTTTGTGATACTTTGTCATGGCAGCCCTAGGAAATTAACACAAGCTGTAACACAGGGGTGTAGTATGGGGGGTGGTGGGGTGGATTTCTTTTTATATCTCTTTCAGCAAATGTATTTGTACCATCACTGGCTTATAGATTTGTTTTGCCTATGCTGCTGTTTGGGTTACAACACCTGTCAATATATGTATTTTTATAGGTTATGAGGCACCTGGTTTCAAATATGGGGTTTTGTCACTTTCTAGCTGTGTAATTAACCTCACTGATCTTCAGTCCCCTGATAATAGTAACACTTGATCTAACACAGTAATGTAAGTGAAAAACAATGTAGAGACAAATACAAGAGTATATAGTGTGAAGGATAAGATCCGGGACCCTGCAGCCAGGTTGAATGATTTCAAATTCAACTCCTCCCTTTACTAGTTCTGTAACTGAACTATAAACTCAGTTCCATCATTTTAAAATAAGAGTGATAATAGTACCTGTGTCTTAAAGTTGCCATGAAGATCAAATAAGTTAATGCATAAAGTGGTCTTAGAAGATTGTCTGGCACACAGAAAGTATTCAATAAATGATATCTAAAAGTGCCTTGTAAACTATAAAGGACCATACAAAAGTTAGATCATTATAATTTATAGCTAATAGCACTTACACATCGATAACTCTTTCTTTTTCTTTTAAAGTAATCTCTACACCCAATGAGTGCTCAAACCCATGACCCCAAAATCGAGAGTCAGATGCTCTATGGACTGAGCCAGCCAGATGCCCCAATAACGCTGACCTTCTAGCTCAATATGCCTCTTTGCAGCAGTAGTTTGGATAGCTATGGAGATCTAAAGAGTGACAATCAGAAATGAGGGCTATTACCAAGTGGGTCAGTTTGAAGAAACTTCAAACTACAGACTATTTCTGGTTTTCATTAGTCTGCTCATTTCCTAGGGTAAAAATATTTTAGAGCCAAAATTTTTATTGAGCATCATATTAACTGCTCTAATATGTAAATGAAAAGCAAAAAATTTAAGTAGATTTCACTTGGGCATGCAGAAATGGGAATCGAATTTTTAAAAACTGCTTTTAAAAGTTTCAAATGAAATCTTTGTTTGCATATATTTGAACTGAGACACATTGTCTACATATCACTTTCATTAGTTATAGTAAATTAAAAAAAATAGACAGCCAATCATCTCTCACCTTGCTTTATACCTCAAGGTGAAGTTTTTTGTTGTTTTGCTTTGCTTTGTTTTATCAAATAAAAGACTACCATTACAAAACATCACTTGCTTCATATGTGTCTTGCCTTATAGAAGGAGGAAAAGCCTTTTACTAAAACACTTTCTTTAGTTTACTTAGAGGAAATAGAAACAAATGAGACTTTAAAAAATGTATTATATTATCACATTTATCCAATTTTATACAACTTACCCAGGAAGTATATACTTGCAAAACAGATTGTCTCAGTGCTGTGGATAAGTTATAGTCTTCAGAACTGTGGTGGGTTTGGTGTCCAGCCCACATGATATTAACCTCTGCAAAACACATAATTTGAAATGAGCCGTGAGAATAAGAACAAAGCAACTTCCATTTTCACTCATGTATGCTGCTCTTGTTATGTGAGGAAAAAAAGTCTGGAACATCTCTGAAAAACCTAGCCAATATAATTATAATTAAAATAAGCTGCTTCAAATGACTTTTGGAAACAGCGAGGGTATAAATTACAAACAAATAAGAAAACTGAAACATAGCGAATAAGTATGTATAGTGTATATGATATAATTAAATGCCTCCAGCAAGCTAAAATGACTTCCAAAATTTATACTTGCCAATGTATTATTATAATATGACAAATCATAAAAGCTAACTGTCAATGTTGTAATAATACAGTCAATGGATAGTGATGATTTTTCAGTATGTGATAATATATTTATAATTAAAGAAGAATAATGTGATGGGAGAAATTGGTACATAAATTTTGGAATGAAATATTACATAAAATTCCTTCCTGATGGCTTTTTAAGAAGTCTAAAAATCTGTCTATTGGAATAAAAGGCAAAGCAGAGTAATATTTGGTTCTAAGACTTAACATTTCATTTTTTAGATTTTATTTATTTATTTGACAGAGAGAGAGACAGCAAGAGCAGGAACACAAGCAGGGGGAGTGGGAGAGGAAGAAGCAGGCCTCCCGCCAAGCAGGGAGCCTGATGCGGGGCTCGATCCCAGGACCCCGGGATCATGACCTGAGCCAAAGGCAAACACTTAATGACTGAGCCAGCTAGGTGCCCCAACATTTCATTTTTATTTACAGAAATATATTAGCTAATACATACAGCTCTTCCTGTACCTTACCCAAACACTACCATTTCTAAAATTCTCCCACATAATTGCTGAAATGTAAGTTGTTTATTTTCATCAAGTATTATGCAGATTACCCACATACTGCCTTGCAATTAATTCATTTACATCCCAAAGGGATAGTTGTTTGTTTTTTCTACAATATGCCACTATAATGACCTCCTAAGTAGATAGAACAAGCCCACATTTTTCATTCTGTGAATATTTTTTTCTTATCAGAATTACAGATAGTCTATTCAGCTAAAAGAAAGTATGTTCTTAGCTAAACTAACTATAATTCCGTTCTTTGCTACAAATATAGGAGATAGAATTAACTGTGTGGTATGATCACTATTTCCATGGCAGTACAGATTAGAAATCAAATCTTTTATTCTTGTATGCATGTGGAATGAACAGTGACCCTAAGAGTGGAAATACTGGATGGGTTACTGATCTTTTTTTTTTTTTTTAAGAGAGAGTGTGGATACAGGTGCACATGAGTTGGGGGAGGGGGGAAGGGCGAAGGGAGAGAAAGACTCTTAAGCATGCTCCACATCCAGCATGGAGCCTAACTCGGGGCTCCATCTATCATTAGATGGAGATCATGACCTGAACCAAAATCAAGAGTAAGGCACTTAACAAACTGAGCTACACAGGTGCCCTGGATACTGGTCTTTACAGTTGCCATATACTAGTAGTCAAAATACCTAGCACTTGGCAGAATAAAATTTGTTAGAGGATTTTATGAAAATTATGGAGATATAAATATATAAATATATAAATGTATATAGATATAAAAATAAATAAATAAATAAATAAACTCCCTCCCCCACCATCTGGGTGCCTTCTCTGCCATTCATTTAGGAAATGAAAAACTCTCTGGACAATCTATGTAGGGAGTTACCAAACAAAATATGCCTAAGAATTTTGGTAAATAAATGATAGCTCAGATATAAGAAGGACTTATGTGAAAATGGAAAGATTATGAACAGAATTATGAATAGAGGGCCCATCAGAAGTCATTATTATTAAAGTTATATATTTTCAGGGGGGACAAGTATTTTCATAAGCCATAAGTTTATATGTAACAGATCCTAATTGGTTGACATTTTAATAATTCCTTGTAATGAACCTATATTTTTACCCAAGCAATTAAGGAAATTGCTCTTATACAAATGAAAACTACTTGACCATAATGACTTCTAACTTCCCAGGTATAATCCTTGAAATAACCTAGAACCTTAATCTCTGGTTTATTGGCTAGTTTATACAGCTAGAAATAAGAGATAAACCAAGAATCCTGTGGCACTATTGTGTGAAAGTTTATTAAGAGGTAATAAACTTGGTGAATCTCAGAAGTCTTTTAAAACTCCTTACAGAGTGAGACCCTGAAATAATCCAAACACCATTTTCTCTTTAAAACATACCCATTATTAAACATTTCAGAACCTATTACTTATAAACTTCATTACAAAAAAAAAATCGTCCATTTTGTTGGACTTTTCAGGATTTGCTTTAAAAACTCATCATAATGTATCCATGTTATGAGTTCAGAAGGGGATGAGCTAATCAGATGAGGTCCAATTAGAGAGTAATAACATATATTTAAATTACTTCCTATAACTTCCACAGAAGCTAAATGGTGGAACAAAGAATCCACAAAGGTGGAGGTTAAAGACCTATCTCTTTAGTTGTTTTAAAAGCATTTACTTCCTATCACAAACTGTGTGTAACACAAGCCTTCGTTCAATGAAGTACAGCTGTATAAACAGGGTACAGTAACTGGATCCTACTGCCTTACCTCTGTCACTTCTCAAACCAAGGAAAAACAAGAAAAAATATAAGATTTTTTTTCCACAGTTTATGCACCTTACTTGAAGTAAATCATTCTCAAAGTGGTTATACAACTGCATTTTATAGAAAATTGTTTCAATAGTTCTTTTGTAAACAAAATGAATAATTAATAGTGCATTTACAAATACGTTCATTTCCCCTAATATTTGAATTTAATTATCTGTTCTAAGGAATAAAAACAAATATTAGAGAGGAAGAAATGGTTTTTTTAAGAATAAACATCTTTCTATCAAAGAACTAATGTAATTACAAGTTGTAGTCTGTAACAATTTTATTTTCCTACAAGAGAATTACTGATTATATAAGCATATGGTATGTTATTATGGCTTTTCAATGATATAGTTAGAAACATTTATGCTGTTTTCCAGTGTTAAAATAAAGATTTGTATAAATATATTTTACTAATACATTGACCAATCATTCAATTTGGCCAAATTTAATGTAATATGTGTTTGTGCCTATGTTATATTTTTGTTAACTTTTTCTATTTTTTTAAATTAAAGTATGACTTACATACAGTGAAATTCATCCCTTTTTTGTACTTGGTAATATGAGTTTTTACCAAACAAATACAGCTGTGTAATCACAATCAAGATACAGGAAAGTTTTGACCAACCCCCAAAATTCCTCATGGCACTTCGTGGTCAGGGCAAGTAGACTCTAACATGGCTCCCTGATCAGATGATGAGATTCTGGACTTTGAACTGATAATGTCATGGCATGAAACTCTTGGGATCTTGGGCGAGGTGAGGGTGTTCTGAAGTAGGAGAAAAATGAATCCCTGGGATCCAGAGGAGTGCCTATGGAAGTGGCTTCTAAGACGAAGACGGCCCCCAGTGATTCCGTGCCCTTGTAGGATGTTCATCTCTTGCATAATCCCTCCCCTTGATTTTGGGCTGGATTTAATAATTCCCTTCTAATGAATATAATTTTGGGCAAGGTAATGGGATATCACTTCTGACATTAGGTTATAAAAAGACAGAGGCTTATGTCTTGGGTACTCTCTCTCATACTCTCAAATGCTCTGAGGAAAGTCATCCACCATGTTGTGAACTGCCTTTTGGAAAAACATATATGGCAAGGAATTAGGAGAGGCCTCAAGCAAACCAGTGAGGAACTAAGCACCTCAGCTCAAACTCCACAAGGAACTGAATCCTGCCAATAATCATGTAAGTGAATTTGGAAGCAGATCTACCCCCAGCTGATCCTTCATATAACACTGCAGTGAGTAGGCAGCTTAACTGCTTAACTACAACCTCTTGAAAGATCTTAAGCCAGGAGCCCTCAACTAAGCTGTGCCCAGATTCCAGACCCACAGACACTGTGAGATAAGCCATGAATGTGTCAGAAAGAAGTAGGTAATACGGTAGTCAATCCCCCTTGGCCTCATTCTCCCAGTCTCTTACAACCACTGATTTGAATTCTTTTCTATAGTTTTGCCCTTCTGAGAATGTCATATAGATGAATTACATAGTATTTAGCCTTTTGAGTCTGGTTTCTTTCACTTAGCATAATGCATTACAGATTTCTCCATTTTGCTGTATTTATCAGTAGTTTATTCCTTTTTCTTGCTGAGTAGTATTCCATTTTTATCGTCAAATCATACTTTGTGTTTTGTTTTTATTCATTCAGTAATTGAAGAACAGCTTAGTTGCTTCCAGTTCGGGGAAATTACAAATAAAGAACCTATAAACATTCTCATACAGTTTTTCTCTTATCATAAGTTTCATTTCACTTGGGCAAACACCTAGGAGTGAGATTACTGAGCTGTATATATTTACATTTACCTTGTAAAGAAACCGTCCAACCATTTTCCAAAGTGGCTGTGCCTGTCTGTACTACCACCAGGAGCATATGAGAGTTACATTTGCTCCATATCTCTGGCAACACTTGGCATTATTAGTTTTATTTTTAATTCATTTATTTCATAGCATTCTAATAGCTATGTAATTATATCACATTGAAGTTTTAATTTTCATTGACATATGGCTAATGACTATGATTATCCTTCCATGTGGTTATTTGCCATCTGTTGCCATCTGTATATCTTCTTTGAACTCTCTTTTCAAAATTGTGCCCATATTTTAGTTGAGTTGTTTTCTTATTATTGAGCTTTCAGAAATCTAATATATTTTTCATATAAGTCCTTTATTAGCTATGTGATTTGCAAACATTTTCTCTTATGCTATGGCTTGACTTCATTTTTTAACAGTGTCTTATGAAGAACAAAAGTTTCAATTTTGATGAAACTCAATATAAATACTTGAGAGTGTTATAAAAGACATTTTTAGCATATATAACAAAGAACAGAGGTTACTTTGGAGAAAGTTTTCAGCATGATGAG